TCCATTTCTCAGCGACCGCCGCGCCGCCATGAGAACTGTCGTACCACCGCCGCTAATGCGGCGGATGCGTGACCTCTCCCATCCCTGTCCTGCGCTGTTTCTGCTACCGCCCTCCCCCCTCCCAGCCAAGCTCGGGTTTCATGCTCGGAGACGGGCGCGGCTGGCGGCGCTTAGCGCGGGTGCGCGTGCTGCCTCCAACTCCTCATCCCCCTCCTCCTCCTCTCCTCATCCCCCCTCCTCTTCCTCCTCGTCCTCCTCTATCGGCCCAGCTCCGATCGCCGCTCAGCTCTCCTGGTGCGGCTGGCGGCAAAAGTACCGAATATTGCCTGGGATGTCCTTCGCCGTCTTCTTCGACATCTCAAGCATCATCTTGCCCTTCTCCTCGGTACGGCGCGCCTCCTCCATCATCTGCCGCGCCTGGTCGACGAGCATCTGGCCCTTCACTCCAACGGCGCGCGCATGGCGGCAACGATTGCGCCACTGGAGAAACCGCACCACCATGGTCGCCCAGTGCCAAACACTGCCCTCCGTCGTGATGAGCTCGAAGTCATCGACGTCGCACTTGCCCGCGATGCTCGCCATAGCGGCGCAAAAACCGCGGAGGAGCCTCCTCTGGCAGCCCCCGCTGCTGCGGAGACTTCGGCAGAGGCCCCTGCGCGGTTCCGTCGCGGAGGCGGGCGGGCGCGGCGGGAGGCAGACCTGCAACGGCTGCGGCTTCACTTTATCGCATTCCCATCCCTCCCTGCACTCACATGGCTTTTCCCATTGCGCCAGTCTGCTGCTCCCACTTCTGAACTACCTCATCCCTTCTACCTCCATCTGCACCCTCCTCTTCCTGTTCAGTCCTCCCTCCTCCCTCCACCGTGCTCATTTCTCCTTACTCCCTTCTCTGCTCCTCCTACGTGGGGCGTTTCACGACAACGACGACGACGATGACCACGACGGCGACAACGAGGGCGACGACGACCACGACGACGACGACGAGGACGATGACCACGACGGCGACCAGCGACGACGACTAGCGACGACGACGACCGACGACGACGACGCCGACCACGACGACGACGGCGACGACGACAACGAGCGACGACGACAATCGACGCCGACGAGGAACGACGACGACGAACGAGGACGACGATTACGACGACGAGATGACGAAGGTTCGAAGATCGAACCTCGAAGTGCGAAGCTTCGAAATTTAAACTGCGACCTTCGAACTCCGAACTTCAAACTTCGAACTTCGCTGGGGTGCCAGGGATGCAATGGGATGGAGGGGAAAATGTGAAGGAGAGAACGAGGAAGCGGGAGAGGAAATTTGAGGAGAACGAACAGGCGTGGAGCGACGAGGAACGGGCGGCGAGGAGCCGACGTTGAGGGCGGCGGGATGGGGGGACAGGGAGGAGAGGGAAGACTTCTTAACGAAGATCGCGCCACGGCGCCTGCACGCGCGCTCCCGATCTCGGCGGCCGACGCGCGCGCCCCTGCCGAAATGCGACGCGCCCTTCGTTCGAGCCCCGCTGCTGCTGCGGAGCCATCTACTCCGCAACCAAATCGTCTGGGGAGTTATTCGGCCCCAAAACTACTGTTTGCCACCCGCTGCTGCGGACGCCGAGGGCCTGGTGCTGGACGCCGCGGCCCCGCTGCTGCGGGGCCCCTGAGAGGGCGTCGGCCTCCCCTTCTCTCTGGCGGCGTCGAACTTGACCTTACGCTCCACACCGAGGTCCTTGTACCAGCGAAAAGTTCCTGACCCGTCGCTCCCGCCCAAACCCGCGGCTGGTGGCCTCGCCGTGTCCGCGCGGGGGGCGAGGGGCAGAGCTTCGACCTTCCTGTCGCCCCAGTGCGGGTGTAAACGGACGCCTGTCCCGTCGTCGCGGTGCAACGCGAAATCCCACATCGGCAGCTTCACTTTCACCCGCTGCCCCGCGAACTGTCGCGCGCGCACAATACTCTGACGCATGTGGTCGTAGCTGTTTGGCCGGACTTCGAGGGAACAGCCGATCAGAGCCCCGCTGCTGCGGGGCCCCTCCACGACCTCCCTGATATCTTCCTCCCTGAGCGTCGCCGCCATCTCTTGCCACCGCCAAGGGACTTCCTCGTCGCTTTTGAAACCAAAGCTCGTCCTCGCACCGTGGTCGCAAACAGCGACCATGGTGGGCTCCGCATTGTCAAACCACTTGGCTTCTGACTCGAACGGGGCAGTTGGGTCTTCATTCAGATGGCGCCACCATTTCAACGCTTGATTGTGTTGCTGAAACGAAGTGCCGAGCCTCTCTTCATAACTCAAAAAATAATTAACATCGAACTTCTCAAAATCCTGGGGCCCGCGCGCCGCCGCCGCTGCGGTGGCGCGGGGCTCCTGCGCCGCAGGCGCGGCTCGGGATCCCGACCCCTCTCCTGAAACTGTGTTCCCAGGTTCTGGTACGTTTCGGAGGGCAGCCCTCACGAAATTATCGAATTCGGGCATGCCGAGACCAGGGGCGCGGGGGCTCACAACGCTAGGCGCGGCGAAGCGAGACGGCCGTTGAGGCGAGACCGCCGCCGCTGCTGCGGCGGCAGGGCCATCGCGCCATTTGGCGTCCTCCGTTGGCGTGCGCCCGTCTTGTCGCCAGTCTCTCCAACCCCTCGCTGACCAATCATGGCCGTCCTCCCAGCCACGCCAGCCGCTGCTGCGGCTATCCCACCATCCTCCCGCGCCACCCCATGTGTATCCGCCTGCATCGCCCATTGCAAGACGATGGCGCAGGCGCGCGTTAGGCCGCGACGGGCCCAGCTGCACCGGTGCTCGCGGGCGATCCCACGGGCGCGGGATGGTTTGAGCATAGCGGCGACGGACGACGCGATGTGATTGGACGGCGGAGAACTTGAAAGGAAGGGGGGTTGGAAACGGATGAACGAAGTGGACGAAGAGCGGAAATCGAACCAGAGGGGGGGGCGAAAAAAGAGCGGAAGAGAATAAGGACATGCAGACGAAGGAGAGTGACGAGGTAGATGGCGGGCCAGAACGGCAACGGAGGATAATGTGGTGGAAATTGTGAAAAGGACGCATGGAAAAACACGACGAGGATCACAGACGCAAAGATGATGAGCGCAGTGGTAGCATGACATATCCGAAATCAAGAAGCAGGATGACGAGGAACGGGATGACGAGCAACTCTATCGCAGAGAGCCTCCGAACGCACCCCCTCTGTCACAGAGGGCCTCCGAACGCACCCCCTCTGTCACAGAGGGCCTCCGAAAAACACCCCCTCTGTCACAGAGGGCCTCAATGATCACTTTAATGCGGCTTCTGGATTATTGACCCCGGGTCAGTGCAGGCCCGGGTCAGCCAGGCCATGCAGGATCCTGGAAGATCCTGCAAGGTCCTGCAGGATGCAACAAGATCCTGCACCCAAATCCGGGTCGGCGCACTCCCGGCCCCGCAGGGTCCTGCGAGATCCCGCGCTCTGGCTGACCCCCGTTTGTGTTGGCCCCCGTCTCTTGACCCCGAGAGCATCTCGAGGCGAAACGCCCAGCCCGGCCCGCCCCACCGACACATCCGGGGCTGCGACCCGGAGGAGTTCTTGATGAGGGAGCGGGATGCAGGAGGAGGAGGAGGAGGAGGAGGAGGAGGAGGAGGAGGGGGAGGAGGGGGAATGGGAGGAGGAAGAGGGAGGGACGACGAAGAAGGGACGAGATGTGTGTTGAGAGCCTTTTGAATATCTCCGCGGCTCTGATAGGTTGCGTCTCCATGGGGCTCGGGAGGGAGGGAAGGATGGAGGACGCGGGCGCGGATAATGATGATGGTGAGGATGAGGTGGATGAGGAAGATGAGAAAGAGGAGGAGCAAGGGAGGACGAAGGGTGGATGAAGAGGACGAGAAGGGTGGATGAGAAGAAAGAAAAGAGGGTGAATGCTAATGAGGGGGAGGGCCAATGAAGGCGGGACCTACGAGCATTCGTTGTGGGCTGCCGCATGGTATGTAATAGGCGGTTGGCAGAACTCGCTTCCCAGTAGCAATGACTGGGCCAGGACTTGTAGAGAGCAGTGGCCTCATCGAAGCCATTGCTCTCAGCAAGGCCATTGAGAGTTTGGCGAGTTTGCTTGCCTGAGGCATGCGGCTGTCGGATTGGTATGTCGGATGAAGGAGGGTAAGTGGTGGGGGGTAGGAGGAGGAGAACGATGACGATGACGATGACGACGACGATATCGATGACGATGCTGACGATGAGTATAATGCTGATGATGATGCTGATGACGATGATGCTGAAAGTGATGTTCATGCTGCTGGTGATGATGATGATGAGGACGACAATGAAGACGACGATGACGATGACGATGATGATGCTGTCATGATGCTGATCATCATCATGGTGGTGATCATGATGATGCTGTTGATGATACGGGTGATGAGGAAGATGATGCTGATGATGCTGCTGGTGATGGTGGCGGTGACGATGAACATGATTAGTATGATGATGATGATAATGATGATGATGATGATGATGATGATGATGATGATGATGATGATGATGATGATGATGATGAGGCTTCCGATTTTGATGATGATGGTGATGCCGATGCTGGTGATGGAAGTGTTGTTGATGATGCTGATGATTATGCTCATGTTACTAACTGTGGAGATGACGATGGCGATGATGACAAGGATGATGATTCTGATGATGGTGGTAAAAACAACGATACTGATGATGAAGACGACGAAGATGATGATGATGATGATGATGATGACGATGATGCTGATGCTGGTGCTCGTGTTGATGATGATGATGATGCTGAGGGTAGCAATGATGATGCTGATGATGATGATGATGATGATGGTGATGATGATGATGATGATGGTGGTGATGATGATGGTGATGATGGTGATGATGACGATGGCAATGGTGATGATGAAGAAAATGAGGACGAGAACGACCACGGAGACGATGACGGCGCTGACGAGCAGGACCAGCAGCAATAGCAGGAGGCCGAGCAGCAGCAACAGCGCTTCCGGCCAGCCGGGCCTGCGCCAACGCGTCCGCCGGAGTAGCTGCGGCACCACGGTCGCCGGAGAGGGCCATGCCCTTGAACAGGGCCGCCGCAGCACCCAGGCCCTCGCGGAGGCACGCCAACTCCTCGCGCAGGGCGCCGAGCTCGGCGTCCTGGTGGGACTGGTCGGCACAGAACCGGTGGAAGCAGGGGTGGATCGGAGCGCGGGCGGAATCGGGCTTCCTCGGCGCGGAGTCGGGCTCGGATCGCGTCGGCCGCGCCGCGGCGCACAAAACCACGCCGCGCGAGCAGGCGGGGCGCATCGAGCTGCCGCGTAGCATCGAGCCGGCCGAACTTCCGCATCGAATTCGACATCCGAGAGGGGCCCCTGTCCTGGGCCTGCACCTTGGCCTCCAGCGCCAAGAGGCGCGCCGTCGGGTCCGCAGCCAGCACCTGCAGAGCAATCGAGTAGGGGATCGACCACAGAATCGAATTCCCCAAAAATTGCGCTCCTCGCCGAACCTTCGAAAAATGCGCAGGATGCCCCGTACGTCTACGGGTCATCCTACGTATGTCCGTAGATCAAACGAGAAAATCAACCATGTTGGAGGCCTGCAAATGGGCACCAACACCAACACAGGGGGGTGCCTCCAAAGGGGGAAGATGATCCTAGACTCTGGTGTTGGTGATCATATTTCGGCCACCTTGGAAGCCATCATATGACCACCATCACCGAGATCGGGATCGTCTTCCCTCGGTGGATGCACACCGCCGAAACTGGTGTTGATGTCAACCTCCAGGCCTGCGATCATGGGGCCAATCAATACTGTAGTCGACCTCCTACTCGAAGCAGCACAACTTCTCGGAGCTCCGCGCGAACTTCAAGGATCGGCGCTGGACCCTCCCTTGCGCGCGGAGCGCGCCAGCCGGGGGGGGCCCAGCGCCAGAGGCGCCACCAGGAGGGCCCAGCGCCGATCCAAGAAATCCGCGCTCCGCGGGGCCAGGCGCCAACGAGACCATACTCCCCAGACCTCTCCCGGGGTGCGTTCTGACCAGAGTTGGGTCGGGCATGTCCCCCTAGAGGCGGATTTGGAACGAAAAATGTTCCAGAAATACTCAATACTGATCAAATAGCCAAAAAACGTCCCAGACTATTTTTCTACTATTTCCCTACCTAGGCTCTGCCTAGAGGGTTCTTACTCTCTTTCTTAAAGGGGCCGGGCAGTGCACACCGCCCCGGGCGCTTCCCCCAGTATCCGCCCCGCGGTTCCCCCAGTTACGTCCCCTTAGCTTAGCGTTGCCGATCTCATCTTAGCTTAGCTTATTTCATATTAGCTTAGCTGAGCTTCATCTTAGCTCAGGTTTATCTTAGCTTAGCTTATTTCATCTTAGCTCAGGATATGTGTGTGTATGTTGTGGCGCTCGTGTGTGCCAACCGCGTTGCCAGTTTAGTTTTCTGTTCGGGTAGTTAGCATGGGTGTAATTCCCTACCTAGGCTCTGCCTAGAGGGTTAGCTTAGCTTAGTTTAGCATAGCGCAGCGCTGCATGAGCATAGCATAGCATAGCATAGCATAACATAGCCAAGCATAGCATAGCATAGCATAGCATAGCATATCATATCATAGCGCAGCATAGCATAGCATAGCGTAGCATAGCATAACATAACATAGCGCAGCTTAGCATAACATAGCATACCATTGTTTAGCATAGCACAGCGCAGCATGACATCCCATAGCTTAGCATAGCATAGCATAGCATCGCATCGCTTAGCATAGCATAGCGCAGCATAGCATAGCATATCATAGCACAGCATAGCATAGCAGCGCAGCATAGCATGGCATAGCATAGCATAGCATAGCATATCAACTAATGCTGCTTTCCCAGGGGCTCCAACTTCTAGGTAGGGTCGCACTGGGGTAATTTTGAACAGTCCCCCTGTAGAGGCACACGCACTTGATTTTCCCACGTAGCTGAGTTTCTCAGCGCCTCCCGGCGCCGGGAGGCGCCCATGTATCGAGGAATGGGCCCAGCGGCGGGGCCGAAACCAGCTGCATGCAGCAGTTTGCGTAATCCCCCCCTTTCGTTCGGCCCGACTCTCCCGGGGTGCGTTCTGACCAGAACTCCGAGGCGCATCCGGCTGCGGCGGCGAGGGCCCTCCGGGACGAGCAGCGGCATCGGTGTGCCGCTTCCTCCTCCGAGCACCTCCGCAGGGCCAGGCGCCGGCGGCCCCTGCGGCGGGGACCCGCGGGCCCCGCTCCCGCCGCCGGTGCCCCGCCGCTCCGGGGAGGCTGGCGCCTCGACGATGATGAATGATGATGCTGATGAGGATGAGGATGAGGATGAGGATGATGATGATGATGAGGATGGTGATGATGATGGTGAGGATGAGGATGAGGATGAGGATGAGGATGAGGATGGTGATGATGATGATGATGATGATGATGATGATGATGATGATTATGATGATGATGATGATGATGAGGATTATGATGATGATGCTGATGCTGATGCTGAGGATGAGGATGAGGATGATGATGAGGATGGTGATGATGATGATGATGATGATGATGATGATGATGATGATGAGGAGGATGAGGATGATGATGAGGATGAGGATGATGATGATGCTGCTGCTGATGATGCTGGTTATGATGGTGCCCCGCCACTCCGGGGAGGCCAGCGCCTCGACCAGCAGCTGAACGCCGCCGGCGGCCAAGGGCACAAAGGCGGCGCGAGGCTCGCCCCGGGCACCGAAGGCCTGCACAGAGAGGAACTCCCCGTGGCGCCCCGTCGCCAGGAGCTCGGTGCCGCGGGGCACGCTGGCGAGCAGCTCGCCCTGGTGGCAGGGCGCGCAGCGCACGCCGAGCTCCTCGGAGGGGATCGAAACCCAGAGGTCCCACGTATTGAAAGCATCAAGACGGAGGTCTTTTGCCCTGTTCGGCCTCAAGGGGCCCTCGCCAGGCCCCATCACCCTCAAAAAACGCCTCAGGATGAAAAACTGGTCCAGGGGAACGGGTCGGAGCTCCGGGGACCCCGCATTGAAAAAATCACAACACCGGATCTCTGCGAAGGTGCCGATGCCGCTGCGCCCCTGACCTCTCCTGGGGCGCGCGTTCTGGCCGGGGTTTTCTGGGGCGAGGCCGGCCGCGGTGACGAAGGCCTCCCAGGAGGCCCAGCTTTGAAGGCGGAAGCGAGGCAAGGCCAGCGGTGTCTGCAGGCCGCTTCCTCTGCCCATCCTCGGAACACACGACGAAGGGCCGCGGAGGCTCCCAGGCCTCGTCCAGCGCCGCGGCCCCAGCGGCGTCGCTGGTCGCGCCCGCCGCCGCGGCGCCGTCACCGCCTCGCCGCGGTGGCGTGCCCGCGGCCACGGCGGCGCCCGCCTGACCCATCGGCGGGCCTCGCGGGGAGCTCGCGAGGGCCGCGCCGGGCGCTGCACCGGGCCGCCCCTGGCGGAGCCCGAGGAACAGGGCGAGGGCCTCCCTGAAGAGCAGGGAGCCGACGGCGCGCGCCTGCGGCTTGGCGCCGCCGCGCGCCTGGAGCGCCCGGCGCAGGGGGTCCAGCTCGGCGCGCCCGTCCGAGGCGATCCTCCTCTGCAGCGCATCCAGCCTGTCGAGCGTCGTCTTCGTCGTCGTCGTCGTCGTGGTCGTCGTCGTCGTCGTCGCCGCCGCCGCCGCCGCCGCCGCAGACGTCGTCGTCGCCGACGCTACCGTCGCCGTCGTCGTCGTCGTCGTGGTCGTCGTCGTCGCTGTCGTCTTGTTGCCGTCGTCGTTGTCGTCGTCGTCGTCGTCCTCGTCGTCGCCGTCGTCGTCGTCGTCGTCGTCCGTCGTCGTCGACGTGCGTCGTCGTCGTCGTCGTCCTCGTCGTCGTCGTCGTCGTCGTCGTCGTCGTCGTCGGTCGTCGCCGTATTCGTCTGCAGCGTCGTCGGTGCCTGTCCAGCGTCAAGATGGTGTGGTATCCGGCGCCGGCCGATACGATCTGCGCCAGCTGGCAGACGTCGATCAGGCCCAGCACGGCGTGCTCGGCCGCCGCGCCCGCTCCGTGCCCAGCATCCCACCACTGCTGGAACTCCGCTACCTGGCGACGTCGACGACGACGACGAAGACGACGAGGACGACGATGACGACGACGAGGACGACGACGACGACGACGACGACGACGACGACGACGACGACCACGACGACCACGACGACCACGACCACGACCACGACGACGGGCGACGACGGACGACGACGAACACGACGACGACGACGACGACGACGGCAACGACAACGACGACAAGAACGTCGACTACGGCGACGGTAGCGGCTGCGACGACGGCGGCTGCGGCAGCGGCGGCGAGGACGACGACGACGACGACGACGACGACGACGACGACGACGACGACGACGACGACGGACCTCCTCCTCCTCCTCCTCCTCCTCCTCCTCCTCATCCTCCTCCTCATCCTACGAGGGCGACCTGGTGCTCGCTCCTCGCCGCGGCCTCCACCTCGGGGCCGGCGCCAGGCTGCGCCTGCCCTGGCGGGGCCACGGCGGCGTGGCCCTGGAACTCCCCAGCCTCGGGCAGCGGCGGGAGGGGCGGAAGCTGGGCGAGGACTGTTTCAAAATCCTCCTCATTATCCTCCTCCTCCTCGAACTTCAATCCTCGATCCTCAGTCCCTTAACATCGAGCCTCGAACCTCCCCTCGGGGGTGGGCGCGACCGCGCTCTCTGCGCGCCGCGGCGGCAGCCCCCCAGGGCTGCAAGATTGCGCAAGAATTCCAGGAAGAAAAACAAAACTGATTCCCGGAGTAAAGCTCAGCGCGCTAGAAATCGTAAACGGGCTGCTTCCCGGAAGAAGAAAACAACTTTCCCGGAGCTCCGTTTTAGCAGCCACGGGTTTGCAAGCCTTCGCCTGGCTTCTGAGAGGGGCTGGAACTCCGCGGCCTTGGCCTGGGCGGGGGGAGGCGCCAGGGTTTGCCCTCGGCCCTCGAGTAACCCAGACCCCCTCGCGTTGTGAAGAAATCACGACGGGAGGTATTGACAACTTCGGCCTCTCGGGGCCCTCAGCGGCCCCCGCAACCGACAGAAAACGACTGAGGATACAAAGCCGTTCCCGGGGAAGGGGCCCAGACCTCATGGGGGTCGACGCCGTGAAAAAATCACGACGCTGGGGGTCTGGGAAGACGAAGCCAGGACGAGGATAGCATCCAGTGAGCACGAGTCGAGACTCTCTGAGGCCCGGCGGCCCCGAAGGAGGCCTTGGGCGCCGCGGCCTCCCCAGAGCGCCCGGGAGCTCCCGGGGACCCGATTGGGGGCATCGATCGGCGACGCGCAAGGAGTGACCCTGGTAGGCAAAGAGTGGCCTTCTTGAGTGCGCGGCTGGAGGAGGCGCAGGGTGGTCTCAAGTCCGAGCGCGCAGGCAGCCGTCACGGCAGGCCCGGGTCGTGCCGACCCTGGCGCTGGCCTCTGACACCGCGGGATCCTTCAAGCTTGAGCGATCGGCCGCTTCGGGAGAGCCGGATGGTTCCACCACGGGCCGATTCTGGGCCACGGACGGCGCCCAACCTTGAACGCACGCGCTGGGGTCGCCGCCGGTCGGCACGACACGAACCTGCCGTTGTCGCATCGCGCTCGGCATTCGGGGGACCCCCGGTAAGCCCACACCGACGGCCCTCTCTGGCGAAGGGCCACTTTTACTGACGTGTAGTCGGCTCGGGGGGCCTCGAGACCGAGGGGCCTCGCCCTGCAGGGATGCGGGCGGACCTGGGCCAGAAGCACATCCTTCGTGAACCTGAGACCCTCCGCCGGCCAAAACAAGCAGAACCTCCAAGGGTACCCCCCCAGCATGCACAAGATCGCCCGGCAAGCAAGAAGAACACTATTGTAGGGTACACTCCCCGAACCGACCTCGATCTTATGCCGCCGTCCGACTGCACCCCCGCCAGCCATCAATCCTCCTGAACCGATGAGAGGCGGGGACAAACCCTGAGATCCGATATAGCCCAACAATTTCAACATCGCAAAAAGAAGATCACGACAGGAGCCCGGGACCCCTTCTCTCCGCGGTATGTTTCGAGCCGGGTCGATCTGAGAGGATCCCGGGGCCCGAAAATGAGCGAACACGCCCGTTGTGCAAAAAAAATGCAACGGCAACCCCGACCCCCGACGTCGTGATTTTTGCACAACGTCGACCCCAGGAGGTCTGGACCCCTTCCCAGGGACCGGATGTCCATCCTGAGTCGTTTTTCGACGGTCCTGGGGCCCGCGGAGGCCCCCGGGGAGGCCGACAATGGCTAGAAACCGCCTGTCGTGAACTCTTCACAGCGCGAGGAGGTCTGGGGTTGCAGAAAAAAGTGCAACGCCAGGAGCTCTGGGATCCATGGGAGACGGGGGCAGCTGTGGGCTTCGGCCTGACTGCACCGGGGGTTATGTTGCTCCCATCGTACTTAAAGACCACATCCCCAAAATATGTTCGAGCACTCAGAAAAAGTATCGAAAGAGTGTCGAAA